ACGTGAAATAGGCTGGTGAGATTAATCTCACCGCCAACACCAGCTGAAAACTATTCCTCTAATAAGTCACTCCTATTCGTTCATTTTTCATTAATGGGAATAAATGATCCGTTCAAAAGTGTGCTTCGCATGCTGATGCCTCAATGCGGGGGCCAGAGTTCCAAAAGTACTGGAAATTAGATTTTCAGTTCCCACTGTGATGTAAATGGCCTGCACGTAGTGGGGTGATGATTACCATCCCGTAAAGGGTTTCGCTCACAACTCATCACAAACTGACGCTTCGTGTGTGTCGTTGGTATTTGTATGAGTGTCACCTGGTTTTTCAACCATAACTGCCGCCTTATTATTGTTGCTCTGAAAAGCTGGCGCGGTATAAAGAATGAGATGGTTCGCATTGGGTGAGTGGGAGTGGAGGCGGATAGGTCAAGTTAACAGGAAGTTCACAAATGTTTGTGCCCCATGTGAAACAAAGATAGATATTGACAGGTCAATCATTCAAGTCAACATTGCTTTTTTCCTGGACCTCAGTACATGGTTAAACTAAGAGAGACCTCCTGGGGAGACCAACGCAGAAACCGACTGTGTCACTAACACTGTCAAAACTCAAGCCAGTGTGCAGTGTTGAGCTTCACCCTTCCATGCGGAGGACCATTCATTGCATCCATTGCAGTCTGTCCATCAGAGGGATCCCTCTCTGCCATTCTCCCGAAGGCTTCTTCCCTTTTTCTCTTTTGAGGAGTTTTTCCTGTGGCCAAGTGAGGTTTTTGGGACAGAGGATGTTGTATGTGGACAGACTGTGAAGCACTCTGAGGCAAATTTGTGATTTTGGGGCAGTACAAAAAAAATGAATTGAATTGGTCACCCCAGCATTTGTGTGTGGAATACGCTCCGCACACATCCAGTGCGCATATGGGTTCCAGCCTCCTCTGTTACCCGCGTTGAAGGCAAGGTTTCCTCCCCTTCAGTCCAGATCGTCATCCACTGCTGCGCCAGACCTGGATGTAGAGCGAGTAACCCGTATGGGTAAAGTCCAAGAAACCAGGGTCAAGATTCATCAGGCCGTTTGAAATCCAGAGGATTCTTAACCCAGTGGCACCCAATGAGCGTCGACGTTCCCTGTCTCCGATGTTAAACCTGTCTGCGAGAGACCCTTGGTACTTGCTCCTCCTCCCCTCCCCCCCAGGCTCTTCAAAGGAGGTCCTGTCTAGTCATTCGTCGCCTGCTTCTTCTGTACCTGGTCGACTGGGAAGGTCCCGTGGAGAAGCATCCGTTTCTGGCTCGTAACATCTACAACTTCTGAATCATGGCTTGCCAGTAACACCAAAAAGGCTCGAAGAACCCCCGACAAAAAAGATATCGACAAGGTTCAAATGTTTTTGTAATAGCAGCAGTGATGGATCCATTTACCTGGTTTTATTTGGCATCAGCGTATCATCCGCAGCGTTACTCACTTTTTTGGCTAATTCCTTTGTTTTCACATTATATAAGCTGTGCGTCTGTAGATTCTCTGCTTGGACGACATTTAAACCGCCTCGTTGGCCGGTGGGTAAAAACTGGAGCGTTATCAGACATTCTAGACAAAGCAATCTCTGCAGGAGGACTAGGCAGCACGCATAGTTAAACACAACGGGACCATTTCTCTTAAAAGCTTTTGAACCAGCTGAGGCTCTTTCTGCAATTTGGGAAACACAGTTTTCAAAGGAAATTGGGTCGTGGAAATGGCAGAAGAACATGGCATGTATAAAGGATTGGACTCTGGAGGGAGACCAAGAGGAGTCACTAACAATGGTATCGGGCTCAAACCGGGCTGTGCTTCTTTGCTTTGCAGTGACGTGTCTGCTGAAGAACGTGTTTTCCTCGGCTGGTCCGTCAGTCCCCCTTATTTGGCTAAAGTGCATCACCTCAGGGTGCACGCCTCTCATCTTAGGTCATTTCATGAGCAAATAAGCAGCTCTTAGCCTCTAATGATTGTGAAGTTCAGAGCCTTTTTGGATGAAACGGGTACGTTTGGTGTTTATGTAGAAAAGAGAAATCCAAGGCACCCTGAAAAATGTGTCTGAAGCCTTTATTCTGCACGGCCAGTCGTATTTGTAGGCTTAAGAAAATAACAGATGCAAAAAGCAGATGCAAGGCACTCGAATGTGTTAAAGAGGCCTCGTTCTGCTCAGCTGGTTACTTCTTAACTTGCAGTTCTGATTACACAAACACCGAAGCGTTTTAACTGTGAGTTGAATCGCTTTCTAACGAGATTTTATACAAGTGCAAGTCTGTATGGAGGATAAAGCACAACACAATGTAGTAGCACAGGAAGGAAAGCAACAATCTTTTACTAACATGAACTAATCCTCACTGTGTGGAGAAGCGTTTGTGAACTGTAAAAATCCTTAGGTTTTATTTTTTATGTGTTTAAAAAACACAGTTTTGTAAGTTACTCAAAAACTTACATCAAAATGTTGTTAAAGTATTTTGTTAATTAGCAAGGAACAAAAGGAAAGTTACACGTATCTACCTATTCCAGCTCCATCATCCCCCTCAACTCATAGCAACATGTCACATATTTAGTACATGGATCTGAAACATGAATGGAACGTATTGGCAGTGGGTCACAAACAGCATGGATGGACTAAAGCCGCCTCCTCCATTTGGGCCGTGATGGTATTTGGGGATCCGGTGACATGAATCATGAAACGTGGGAACGTAGATTTGCTCTGTGTTTGTATTTTCTGCACAACTGTGTGTTTTATTCGTCGTGGCTGGTCCGGATCCTTACCTCTCAGAGCACATCTGTATCTCATGGTGAAATCCCAGAGGATGGTTTAGTGGTGAGCAGTTTACATCTTTTATCACAACTGCTACAGATGGCATCGTAAAACGTGGTTACCAAGCAACTGCTCCTCAGCCTCCCAATCAGTGGCGTTGTTGGTTTGAGATTCAGACAACAATCACACTCCCCTTTCCCCTCCTGCATGTTCCATACCTTTATTGAATTGATTAACTTAGTAGAGAAAACATGCTGTTTGATCCAAACATCGTTCAATTTATTCTCCTGAAGGACTCATTTATTTTGTAATTGAATTTATTAAGCTGTTCCGAAGGTGTCTCAGTCATTCACACTGTTTCATGGGATCTATTGGTACCCGAGCTGACTGCAGTGGTGATGGAGGAAAAAGATGCTTATGCAAAGCGTTTTCCCCTACTGCTCCTGTCAGGCAGCTCCTGAAATCCAGCTTTTCTAACGAGAGCTGGCGTCCCATCTTTGTTCAGTATTTCCTCTGGAGGGTTCGCGACTGAAGGACGACAGCAGTAAAGTCCTCTGCTATCAACCTTTTAGAGAACTCACACTTGGCTTTGAGATTTTTTTTGGGTTTTATCGACAATATAGTTTGATTGCAAGGCGGCGGTCTCTGATCTGGTGGTTCCTTCAGAGCTTTGACAGGCCGTGCTGATAGAGGTGGAAATCATTCTCTCTGGTTTTCATTGTTAAAATCGCTCAATAAGAATCATTTCTCCCATTTATGTAGCAAATAACTAAAGCTCAGGTAATTAATTAGACTACATTTACTCTATATTGCTTTTAATTAATCATATACAAATGTTTAACATACACATATATATGTGTGTATATATATATATATATATTATTATATATCTTTATATATATTATATATTATTATATATATATATTATATATTATTATATTTTTTTGTTTATATATATATATATATATATATATAAACAAAAAATACTTCATCATGACCTTTTTTCACTTAGTGATTCCTCTGGAAAATGACATATCATTTTAAAAACTGTTATTTAGTAAAAAAAAGCAAGCAGGGCTATTTCCAGCGGTGATAATGCACATTGGCGGCTCCAGTCAGTGTCAATACCAACAGCACCACGGATGTGGGACACGGCGTTCATGGCACCGAACAAACATGTCACCTGGTGCAACAATGTGTCTTACTGACGTGTTGCTTCTGTACAACAATGTGTCAGGCTTCAATACACGATGATGGAAGTAAAGGATGCAACCAGGCTATTGGTTTTAACGTGGCGGCCTAAGGGGGGTATTAGACGTTGTGATTGGTCGACAGGTCACCGCCCAGTGTGGGGACATGATTTAACGCTGTGATTGTGATGAGTCAGCGTGTCCTCACCCGCTGACCTGCAGGGAGATGACGTCTTTATTACTCATGGGATGCACCATGGTGGTGACGCTTGTGCGCAGATGAAAGCGACGTTGTTTAATGTTCAGCATGACGAGTCAAGTTCAATTTGAAAATGCTGAATTGGGGGTTTCTTGCCTTTTCCCCCCTGTTGGAGGATGTTTTTCCAGTATGGATGTGAGGGTTTGGGGACAGACGACGTGGCGTACAGACTGTAAACCCTGTGAGGGAAACGCCCCCCAGGCTGCGTCTTCCACGCGGCTCCGGCCTGCGGACACGGGAACAAACGGCCCGGCAGCTTGTGCTGAGTGCAAACACGCTGCAATTCATCTCGCTGCTCTTCAACAAAGTGCCACTAAGAGCATCTTCATCTCCTGCACATACATGTACATGTTCATACAAACGGAGAACACGGGCGTGTGTGTCGTGTAGCTACGGAGAACCTCACTCTCATGGAAACGTGGACACCGGAGAAAAGAGACACGAGAGGTCCGTGCAGCCATTAATGGCAATAACCAGAGTGTTTGGAGCAGCAGGATGGGGGAGGATGGGGGAGGATGGGGGAGGGAGGAGGGGAACCGATAACCGATACTTGATTGAGTTCTGACACCAGCAATGAAATGATATGAGAGAGAGAGACTATATATATATTATTATATATTTATATATATATATATATAATTAGTATTATAGAGAGAGTGAGAGATTGTATGTATATATAATATATATATATGTATATGAGGGGGAGAGAGAGAGAGAGGGGGGAGAGATTGTATGTATGTATATATATATATATATATATATATACACACACACTAGAGAGAGAGAGAGAGAGAGAGGGGGGGAGAGAGAGAGGGGGGGAGACGTCCACAGCTCTCATATTGTCCACCCTCTCGGAGAAGCAGACGCAGAGCGGCTCTCCTCGCGTCCTCGCGTCCTCGCGTCCTTCCTCAGGTAGGCTGCGGTCTTACTTCCACGCTGCGCTCAGGTCGCGGGGACATTAGTGGCTCCATTTGAATTTGAATTGTCGACATTTGCCGGATTTTTGCTGCATGTGAACTGTATGAATTTGCATGTGATGCGTGCGATGAATGCGCGCGCGTGTGGACGGCGCGAACTGAAGGCTGGACGCTGTTCGGACGTTGGGCGCCTACTAACGAGCACACAGCGCGAGGGACGTCTCTGACGTGTCCCTGTGCCGAACTTGTCTCTCCTAGGTGGGTCTCCGTGCGCGCTGATGTGTCCACGCGCAGTGTCCTCGGCATGACGGCGGCACCGCAGACCGCCTCAGCGGACTGAAGCCGCGCGCCTCCGACCAGCGTCCAGGTGTCCCGCCTCCCGTCGCCATGGCGATGCGGCACGTGCTGCTGCTGCTCATCTACCTGGACCCGCTGTCCGTGCTGAGCGCCGCTCCGGGCGCCAAGAAGACCAAGCAGGCGCCCCGGAAAGCGCCCAGAGCCACCGCGGCGCCCACGCTCGTCCCGCAGAAGACCGCCAGCAACCACGACACGTGCCTGGGCTACTACGACGTGAGCGGCCAGTACGACAAGCTGTTCGAGTGCAACAACACCAACCACCGCTACTGCTGCGGGACGTGCTACCTGCGCTTCTGCTGCGAGTACCAGAAGGACCGGCTGGACCAGAAAGCCTGCAAGAACTACCAGACGCCCGAGTGGGTGCAGACGGCCGCCCCGTCGCCCATCCCGACCGGAGAGACGTACGACCAGAGCATGGACCAGACCAGCACGGCGGTCTACATCACGTGCGGGATCATAGCCTTCATCATAGTGGTGGCGGTGTCCATCAAAGTTGCCTATGACAAAGCCACAGATCCGCCTCAGGAGATGAATATACATCGGTGAGTGACTCGTGGAGACATCGGTCCTCGTTCAAATGCAACGCAGAAGAAGAAGCAAAGTCCCTCAGAGCCGATCGGTTCTGGCTTTAGAGACTAGACAGACTATGATGCAGACAAGGGTCAAAGGTCCACCCGCATTTTAGACACAAGCACAGTCTCAGTCGTAACGTATCAAAAGGTTTGGGACGCTTCTGTTTTCATGTTGAGTGTTTATTTCCCTGAAACCAGGCTGACGGTGTTTCTATTAGATGCTCATTCCCAAAGAAGTGAACTGGAAGGAAGGATGAGGATGACGTAGGAGTTGAACTACAGGCATTCTGGTGCTGATGAAGATAGAGGGACTGTGTGTGTGTGTGTACGTTGGTTACGTGTGGGTGTGAGATGAACTGATGTCCAAAGTTTATATTGGAGCTCTGTTAGTTTTTAATAGCAAACACAATCTGTCTTGTTTAAATGATAGAAATATGATATGATAGATATAAAATGCCTCTGGCATGTTGGAACCAGCCGAGACATTTTAGCTCATGATGCAACCGAGAGTCACGGCAGCCAGAGGTCCAACATCCCACTCTGCGACAGACTCACAGCGCTCGTCTCCCACTCCCACTCCCACTCCACCATCCGCCATCCACCACCCGCACATCCGCCGCCCGCACATCCGCCATCCGCCGCCCGCACATCCGCCATCCACCATCCCCCATCCCCCGCCCGCACATCCCCCATCCACCATCCCCCATCCGCCATCCCGCCATCCCCCATCCCCCATCCACCGCCCGCACATCCGCCATCCGCCATCCACCATCCACCATCCACCGCCCTCACATCCGCCATCCACCATCCACCATCCGCCATCCGCACATCCACCATCCGCCATCCACCGCCCGCACATCCGCCATCCGCCGCCCGCACATCCGCCATCCGCCGCCCGCACATCCGCCATCCGCCGCCCGCACATCCGCCGCCTGCACATCCGCCATCCACCATCCACCGCCCGCACATCCGCCATCCACCATCCACCATCCACCGCCCGCACATCCGCCATCCGCCCCGCCGCACGTCTACATCCGCCATCCGCCACCCGCATGCCGCACATCCGCCATCCGCCGCCCGCACATCCGCCATCCGCCACCCGCAGCCCGCACATTCGCCATCCACCATCCACCATCCGCCATCCACCATCCGCCATCCACCGCCCGCACATCCGCCATCCGCACACCCGCCATGTGCACACGGCTTTCGGCTCACGATGCCTAAACGTAGACGGGCGACGTGGCCAATGCATGAATCTCACCTCCTCAGCTGTTGTCTTTTCCTCCTCACGCTTCACCACATGAAAATGATCACACACGAGTCGACATTACCAACAAATGCTGACACAAAAATTGTCCTCAAGATGGAATAGTTTTTGTTTTTTTATTGGATGCATTATTCAAGACTTTAGCAATTTTAAGACTGTGAATAATGGATAGTGTTAACGTTGGCTGTATCAAGGTCGTGTGACAAGCATGCACCACTGCACATTCAATAAGGGGGAGGAAGGAGGGGCTGAAGCTAAAATATTAATTTAAAAGCAAAGGTTACAGTCGGCGAGGCATTTGTCGAGCAAAAGCTTTTGGCTGCATGCGAGCGAAAGTAATTTCATTTCCTTCTTCAAAATACGACGGCAGAAAAAGCAAACAAACACTTTTTAAACTTTCTTCCATCATGATTGCTTCACCTTCTCCTCCACACTTTTCCCCTTAACGATTCCATCTTTCCATCACACGTCCAATAATGTTTCTGATTTCAAAGATCATTCTTCATGTTCCCAGACGTGAACGTGAAAGAAGCTACGCAGCACAGCACCATTCTGCACGTACGCAGCACAAGTGGTATCACTTCACTTCTAACTGACTTCAGCCGTACAAGAAGAGAAACGTGTTGTGTTTTGGCTTTGCAGAGCTCTCGCAGACATCCTGAGGCAGCAGGGGCCCATCCCCATATCGCAATACGACTGTGAGAATTTCGCTGCGATGAACGGCTCGCCCAAAGACAACACGCCGGTCAGAACCTCCTCCAAGAACCACTACACCCCCGTTCACACCTCCAAGTCCAACCACGGTAAGATTCCTCCGCCGTCTCCAGTCAGGGCGGTTGGGCCTACACGCATCCCACTCAGCGGGTCCCATTGGTGAGGAGCCCCCCGCTGTGCACACGCTTTCAGCAGCAATCATCCCATTAGAGACAGACAGTACGGAGGAGACAGAGGGGCCTGCCGGAGGTGACGGGCTGGAAGTGATGCCCCTCAGTCACGCAGCGGTGAACCAGAGAGCGGGATTCAAACCCGGGACTCAAAGTAAAAGGGCTGAAAACTGCTCAGGAATAAATGGAAGCTGGGCGAAGAAACGGGCCCAAGTGGTAGCCGGTGGTCCCTGCGTTAAAGCATCAAAGATTAAAGCAATAAAACAATGATCCGGGTGTAGTGAGACACCATACGAGGAATCCACGTCAGTTCCCATCTTCAGTCAGACTACAGCTCCATCATTGATATTTGAATTCATTAGTCTCTATTTCAATTTGATTTGCCCGATGAGTTAAGAAATATGTAGGAACCATAAAATACGTTTTTCAGCCAACAATCATTCTCCCTTAGACATCCATGCTCATACTAGTGATCTGGATGTAGGGTGTGAATAGTAGTATCAACTAGCACTGGGTCACATTTAGGCTTACGGGGCTCCAAAAATCAGCACCTAGACCCGTTGGATCGCCTAAAGCAGATCATTTTGAACTATTACTTTTTTACAGGCCGCTTTATTTTCATTATAACGGCTTCTCACTAATGTTGGGATGGAGAGGTGCCTGAGGGCTACAACAGAAATAAGGCTGTAGTTCTTCTGTGCTCCAAACATTATTGGTTATTCAAAACGATGAAAAGATACGGTCCGTTCATGTTAAAATCTAATTTATATATTAATTCACTTACTGGATAAGTGACATCTGAATGAAAAGGTTTATTGAGGATTGTTCATGCTCATTTGTGTCACTCCATGAGTGAGTTTGGGCGTCTTTGTCTGAATCAGCAAACCTGTGGACGATATCTATCAGTCCTCTGCAGCAGAGAAGTGCGAACTCCTTCCTACAAAGCAAAAGACCATCAACGAGCAACTCCTGTGGACGGCAACCGGCTGCATGAATCATTTCAGTCCAGGTTCAGATCCCATCACAGCACAGAATCCGCCCCAAAGTCCCCGATGACCTCCCCGTCTCCTCTGACATCCCTCAACATCTTAAACTGCTCCACTTCAGTGCAGCGCTTGACACCATCAACGCCTCCATCCTCGAGTCGTCCCTCAGCATCACTGACACGGGCCCCTCCTGGTTCCTTCCGCTCCATCCGCCAACAGTTCATTAATATCAATAAATCAAACTCTGACACAGTACCAGTCTCCTCAAGACGTCCCCCGATGTTTGGTCCTCTTCGTCCTCTGCAGAGGTCACTAATAGGCAGTCTGCAGAATCCAGACCCACACGCCGTTGTACCCCAGTACTTCGTTGTCCAGGAATGACACCAAATAATCCCATACGTTGTAAACCAAATGACTTGATGCTACTCAGCCAATCAAACATGTGCCTTCCGCTGAGCTTCCCCATCGAGCCCAGTGGGATTTACACACATGGGGGGGGGACAGTGAGACTAGAGCCTTACCCAAGATTGGACTATTTCCATTCATCCTTCAGGCAGTTCCAAACCAGTATGTCTCATATGTTCAAAGGCCGTGATGATGAGTAAAAGAAGCAACGCAAAGCGCCACTACGACACAAAAACAAAGCCACAACATCCGAAAGGAAGTATAATCCTGAACAAGTGGCTTTAATAACCACTGATGGAGTTCTTACACACAAGCTTCTCCTTTTAGAAGATGAAAGTAATAATATTGTGGCCAGTTTGATTGACTTCACTTCAGACCAGAATTAAAAGCTGCTGGAAAGTTCTGTTCAGCAATTATTTGAAAAAATCTGTTAACAATACAATACATTAACCTAAATAATGATGCTACCAAAGGACATTGTGATGTCCCCTTATTGTCCCTACTGGGACATCACAGTGCCTGATGCATGTTGTTGGTACGGTTGATTGGACACAAATGCTTTTGCGTCTTGTTTTCTGAATAATACATTTTCTGCTCTATTTGAGTTTTCTGCCTCTTTTTGCCGTCTTTCATATACTTGCTGGGGACCTTTTTCCAGCTCGGTGTTGGATGTGATCACAGTCTTGATCTACTTACTTTATCTGCACATAACAAGGACGTTGCAGGTATTTCATTCAGTAAAGAAGGGGCATCCTGTCATCTGTTCATGTGTCTCGGCTAAGGCACACACTCACTGCAGCAAGAGCCGAAGTCAGCCAAGCCCCCTTCATCAGGGGACCCGGGCGTCCTTATTGGGTTGGACATGAAAGGCAGAGACAGCCTGACAGCCCGTGCTAAAGTCTGCTTTGTCCGTGTGGATGAATCTGGAGCTCCGCTCAGGCTCCGAGGTGCTGTGGACACGGAACACACACTCATAGAAAATGCATATTCGTGTTTGGCAAAATGGGCATTTGGCACAGAGCAGGAGACGGGCCTCTTCAGGACGAGGTCCTCGGCTGGAGACCCCATGAAGCAAGATGCCAAAGGGCCGAATAGGATCAACGTATGTCTAGACTGCCAATGACGTCCATTCCTCCTTTGATCCTCAACGTGCCACGATGCCCACTTGCTGTGAGAAGTCCTTCCTTCCTGCTCAGAGAATCGGAAGCAACCGCTGATTTGTTTGTTCCCATTGCCTGGCGCGGTGACACGCTACCCTTGGTGCATTGCAAAACTTGCTTTTTAGAACAACATATTCCTTAACAAAAAACTGAGCCTAAAGCCAAACAGTGCAGACAGCATAATATGATACCAGCGCAAGTGCTGCTATTTTTATTTCCAACCACTCTGCATTGTTGTGGGCTCAGATGTGGTTTTAGGTCGTGGTGTACACACAGAGCGCCCCACGGCCACAACAAGGAGCACCGCCAGAAAGGGAGGAGGAGGAGGTACCTTAGTAAACAATAAGAGAAATGCAGTTTGGCCCACAGCTCTTAAGTAGATTTATTTACTGCGTACATTTGATTTTTTTTTGCTTGGTTTCCCTTCAAACATTTTCTGAATACGCAGAATAAGGGAATTTAGTTTTCAGGTGGTGAAGAGAGTTGTTTCGTTCCAGCAAAGGAAAAACTGTTACTCCCATATAACACTAAAACAAAAACGCAAACTGAAGTCCACGTTGTGGGTCTGTGCTTACTGTACCAGAAGAACAGGCAGAATGAGAAGAATGACCACGTCAGGCTGTGTGCTCATGCACAGCCAGTATCTGAGCTCCACACAGCGCTGGAGGGCTCTGCTTTGGGATCAGCGGCCTCTGTGCTTAAAGGTCAGCGGCTGTGGACAATTAGAGGTTTAGATGATAGAATAACATTTCCAGCTTTTTAGCAGCTTTGACATGACCTTCAGATATTATGTGTGTATGTGTGAGGGAGAGAGGGTCAGAGAAGCCAAGAGAAAAAACTCAAACTCAAATTACTCGCCCAAAGTCCATTTTGTAATCATATTCATTGAGCCCTCCTACCCTCAACCACACACACAGATTCTAGTTTTATGAGAGGGTAGAGGCAGGGTTAAAAGAAAATGAGCATGTATTTGTCACGATGGCATGTAAATAGCTCCAGTGTGTATCTCTGACTGGGAGAAAGCTAAAGATATGAAGACATGTGCTGCTGAGCTGAAGGACTTTACCCACATTTCCACTCCAATAACGCTAATGCTATAAAATGAGTATAGCATGTAAATCACCTCTGCCTGGCTGCTTTAAAGATGAATGGACTTTGGAGTCGGGTGACCTACCCAGTGCCAACCACACAGCACCACATCATCATCAGCTCAGTTCATCATAGGAGTGTCCTATTCATAGCTGTAGCTGTCCAGTGAAGAATTCAGATTAAAAAGGTATTGCAGTAGGAATCCACGGTGGTGTCCATTTCTATGGCACATTGTTGAGGTGAAAGTCACGATTTTCTTCGTCTTTCTCAACGATGATAAATTCATAATGCATGGCCTTCCCCCTGCAGGCTCTTCACGCCCCCTCACCGTAACGAGCTGGGAACCAGAGCAGGGGCAAAGGAGGGGATTGCTTTTGAAGGCGCTCTCACATTCAAGGGGTGTTTGCAGTGAATGGCCTGACAATGGCTGACAAAGGAAGACAACAATAGCACACATGGAATTGCTGGGATGATAGAATGAGAAAAATAACCTTAGCAGATCCTTTATCTGCAGCGGTGACAGCAGAGCAAGGAAAGGTGTGATTGAGTTCAGAGTGTATTGGTAGGTGGGCGGCTGAAACATATTGGTCGTTTCACTGTGTTTGTCTGTATTTTTTATTCTCCCACCAATTTCATTCTTCTCTGTGCCTGAGGGGAAAGGCACTGCGGAGACCAGGGCCACCTACAACGAGATGGGAGAGCCCAAACCCTGTTTGCTTATTAGGAACAGGAGCATGCAGTGCCCTTAGCTTTTGCTTGTTCATGCTGCTTTTTAACACATTAAAGTTTGTGCAGTGGTTTCCAAGCCTTTTCTGCCGAGCCTCCCTTTGAAGATATAGGAACGGGAATCCTTTCGCATTAACATTCTCTTTTTCCTTCATTCATCTTCAACCGCTTATCCGGGTTCGGTTCGTGGGGGCAACAGCTCCAGCAGGGGACCCAAAACTTCCCTTTCCCGGGCCACATCTACCAGCTCTGACTGGGGGATCCCAAGGCGTTCCCAGGCCACCTAGTCCTGGGTCTTCCCCGGGGCCTCTTCCCAGCTGGCCGTGCCTGGAACACCTCCCTAGGGAGGCGCCCAGGGGGCATCCTCACCAGATGCCCAAACCACCTCAAGCGGCTCTACTCCGAGCTCCTCACGAATGGCTGAGCTTCTCACCCTATCCCTAAGGGAGATGCCAGCCACTCTCCTGAGGAAACCCATTTCGGCCGCTTGTACCCGTGACCTAGTTCTTTCGGTCATGACCCATCCTTCTTGACCATAGGTGAGGGTAGGAACGAAGATTGACCGCTAGATTGAGGGCTTTGCCTTCCGGCTCAGCTCTCTTTTCGGTGTGGTAAAGCGAGTTCAATACCGCCCCACTGCTCCGATTCTACGGCCGAACTCCATCTTCGAGGTACTTGGACTCCTTCCCTTGGGGTAAGGACACATTCCCTACCCGGAGTAGGCAATCCATCGGTTTCCTGCTGAGAACCATGGCCTCAGATTTAGAGGTGCTAATCCTCATCCCGACCGCTTCACACTCTGTTGGAGGTCACAGACCGAATATGCCATCAGGACCACATCATCTGCAAAAAGCAGTTCACCCACACTACGCGCTTGGGTTTACTGGATCTATTCTGAGTCTTCCCCCTTCCTCTGACCCAGCTGACCAACAGATGGTGATCAGTTGACAGTTCTGCCCCTCTCTTACCCCAAACCCCAAACTATGCAGCCTCAGATCAGACAATAACAAAATCGATCATTGATCTCTGGTACCACGTACACATGAAAATCCTTATGGTTGAACATGGTGTTTGTTACGGACAATCCATGACCGGCACAGAGGTCCAAAAACAAATGGTCTCCCTCCACTCTGGTTCAGATCAGGGAGGCCGTTCTCCCAATCACGCCTCTCCAGTTATCTCCATCATCGCCCACGTGCGCATTGAAGTCTCCCAGTAGGACTAGTGCCCTACTGGAGCCCCATGCAGGACTTAATTCAGGGTTTACAAAAAGAATGAATACTCAAAGCTGCTGTTTGGTGCATATGAACAGACAACAGTAATAGTTTTCTTCCCCACCACCCAAAGGCGTAGGGAGGCGCCCCTTTAGTCCACCGGGGTAAACTAGCAGCACTCTGCATTAACAGCAGGATTGTATTCTTTAGAAAGTAATCTGATCACATGATCAGGGTAGGAGGTTTCATACTGTCAGCTTCCAGTATTTTAGGACACACTGAGCTTGTAAAGTGGTGGCGTGGTTGAACCCCACCCCCTTGTTTGGGAACCATTCAGTTAATGGATGAATTCATTGTCAAAATAGTGGCTAATGAATTGTCTGTCAATCGACTACACTCAGCTTCTCTTCCGTTTTGTTTGAAGTGTTAACATGCTTCCTTTCTAAAGGAAGTCAACACACAAGTAGCCGGTTATCTCCGAGCAAAGACACCATCATGAAGCGTTGAGTCCTGAGGGTCCTCCTGTGATGGGTTTGTCACTGTTGTTGGGTTAAATTAGTTACTGTGATGGTTTCATCGAGCTATTTCAAGGAATGCTTGAGATTGTTTCTAGGCAGGAATCCATTTAGTCATTTTTTTTAGAAGTTACCTGTTGTTACTGATACATACCTATCCTGGTCAGGTCACTCTTAAACCATGGTGAAATATTCTTACTGAAATAAAATAATGATACGAATCTGTACAATGCAACATGCCATCAGCATGGAGCATGGCTCACATCCTTTGGATGGTCCTAAACGCTACTTCTGTCAGGGAGCTGCATGGCGGGGAAAGTAGGACTCAGACGCAGAGCTTTCAAAAAGAAAAGGGACTTTAATTGTCAAAAAGGTTTTCAAAAGCAAAAGGCCAAGGGAGACAGGAACCAGAACCAGAACAAGATCGTGGACGTGGACATGGACTTGGACTTCCTTACATTGAACAATGACGAGTGACAACAGACACACATGGCTTAAATACACAAGGAGGTGCAGGTGATTGGACACAGCTGGAAACAATCATGACATGACAGACAATCACAGGGGACGACAGGACGAGGCAGGAAGTGACGTGACCCGGGGAGAACAGAGGCAGGAAACTACAAAATAAAACCAGACATGAACCCAAACCGTGACAACGTCCACAGATCCAACTGCTGCTAATGTTGCTCATGATAAAACCCAGTGTGTATATTTCTGCTGACTGATTGAATATCTGTGTGTGTGTCGTTGCCTTACATGCCTATGAATGTGCGTGTGTGTACAGGTCTCCACTATGGGAAGGAAAGCATCCGCAGCAGTGGAGGCGCTGACCTTCAAAACTTTATCTCCTCCGGCTTTGTGACGTTGGGTCGAGGCCACCAGAAAGGTGAAGTGCCTCTTTCTGTCCTTACCTCTCAGGAGATTGAATTAACTGTGTTTACCTACAACCACTGGGCTGTTTTCTTGCTGAATGCTAACACGACCAACGCACTGTTCCGTTTGCATCACCGCTGATCAACAAGACACCAACGCAGGTGAAATGTTTCCTGTTTCCCTCCCAAACAATCCAAAGGATCTCCTCCCTCTTTTTCCAGTTAAAAACAAGCAAACACACAATTACTGCAGCTGACGGAGGAGGTGTCTCCAAACTCCAATACACGACACACACGTACCTGCAGCCATCAGTCAGGGGCACTTTTTCCACGGGTAATACACTGATCAGCATGCAGCCATGTTGTCTGCGCTCTTGTGATTTATTCCCTTCCATTTGGGCTCCACAAATCAGAGGTGTGTGTGTGTGTCTGTGTGTGTGTGTGTGTGTGTGTGTGTCAGCGTGCGAGGGTTCCTAGGTGAACCGTATTACCTGATGCTGCCTTTGAATGTTTAATTGAATGCATGTGATGATTTATGGTGGTTGACTGTCCCATTTAAATGCATTTAGCATTTAGTCCCTTTTATGACGGCAGCAGATGTTGCCTGTTTTTAAATACATGTAGATGTTTTTTTTGACAGATGGGTTAAGTTCTCCTCCAGCGTGAACCTTTACAAAGTAGCATGGCTTTCTTTCTGCACGGGAGCTTTTCCCCACATTTGTTCCTAATGGGGAATATCACACGACATTAAGAGTTTTTCTTTTGGGGTTCTCTTCAGAGGGGTTCCATTTCAAAAACATTTCTTTCTTGTAAGACGTGTAAAGCATGTGAAGGGCCTGACTTCCTTAGAGGTATTCTTCGTTCCTACGTGTCTAGTGTCTAGAGGTCGGTAATACTACCAGTTTAAAGCAAACCGGGTCTGATGCTCGTATTAGATATTGTTGCTGCTTGGTATTATCTTTAGATCACTTCGGGCTGGTGGAGGGAAACTTTCCCTCTCTCATGGTCTCTTCACAAACATTAAATGATGTGCTTTTCACAACAAACCTTAATTTATGAATTGAATCAAAATCTGTGGATGAAACTGTACGTGCAGCACAGTGAACCTGTGTGCTGAAGTGAACCTTTAGGGAGGAAATGGAGTCACAAGTTAACAGCAAGTAAACCTTTTGAGGAGGTTTGTACATTCACTGGTCAGTCAGGGAAACTCTGGATACTTCTCACCTGTTCTGTAATCGTTTTTTTGTGACACTGACAAACAAGGTTCATGAGTCATGATATAAGATGAAGGAAGCCGCCTACGGCTTATCTTATCATCTTATCCCACAATGCAACATAAAAAGTTAAGAACGTGCTATCTGTAATCTTTTATTTTACAGAGATAAAGAAAGTTACATTCATATCAATGAAGATTGTTTTTAATGCACTTTATTCAAAAGGGAACGTTTACAGTTCAAACATAAATGTGAATTCAATTCAATCAATTCAAAAGCACAAATTAGCCTCAGAGAGCTTTACAGTGTGTACACATACGACATCCTCTGTCCAGAAATACTCACATCGGCACAGGAAACCCTCCAAACCCCCAAAACACGAAACCTCAGTGAGAACGTCAGAGGAGGATCCGTCTCCTGATGGACAGACTACAATGATGCCATGTGGACAGAATGAACAATGTAAAATATGAACAATACATTCAATTCCTATAACAGAAATGGTTGAATAGTTGGGAGTAGTAAGCAGGTGCACGGCAGGACCACTGCAGTCACGCTGTAGTGGTTAAATTAGAGGTGGATAAACTATGAATTTTGTGATCAGACACAAAGCGTTGGGACTCCGTCAGGCTGTCCTGGCTATATCGCATTATGTTATCAGTTAAAATCATATACAATCAATGACAGTAAATAAATGTGTTTGTAGTTTATTCAATTTCAAGAAAACAGTAATGAACAAAAAAAATAAGGGCATGGAGGAGAGACAGAAGAAAGGACCTTAAAGAAAATAAAGGCCTCTGGAAACAAGCCCAGGTGTAATAGCTGAACCGTGTAATATGAAAAGAGACATCCTGCAAGTTCTCACCTGCTCCTTCACCATTAAGAGAAAGCTCCAAAAGTCAACCTAACACCGTGTTTGTGTTTACATCCCGATCGCTGATTGCAGATGAAAATGATTCAGACTACAGCGTTTATGTGTACAATATAATATAAAACGTAGTCTGAGGTGTTTTAAAATGACACCAAGTTTATTTCGGATTATTCCAACGGAAGAATACAAGGCGCAAGGAACTTTGAAGCCACTTCGAGGTGCGTAAATGCTTTTTCCAAAATTCCAGAGGTGCGTAAACGGCATTTAGGTGCATTTACCTTTAACTACAGCACTGACTGCAGCGGCAACCACCATCAGATAGAACCACAACCACAATCACATAGAACCGCCATCACATAGAACCACAATCACATAGAACCGCCATCAGATAGAACCACAACCACAATCACATAGAACCGCCATCACATAGAACCACAATCACATAGAACCGCCATCGGATAGAACCGCCATCGGATAGAACCGCCATCGGATAGAACCGCCATCAGATAGATCCGCCATCAGATAGATCCACCATCAGATAGAACCGCCATCAGATAGAACCGCCATCAGATGGAACCGCCATCACATAGAACCGCCATCAGTTAGATCCACCATCACGTAGAACCACCATCAGATAGAACCATCCACAGCAGCCTGTGAGGAGGGCAAGCACAAAGACTTTAGGAAAGAAGCAAAGCTTGTAATGATGGTTTATCTTGACAGTAATAGTAATGTGATTAATATTAATAATGATGATGATAGCAGCAGCAGGTGTCAGCGGGGCCACGGCAGGAGGCAGGAACAGGGTCCAGATATAACCAGGATCCATGGAAACCTGTGAGGCGAGAAAGAACAAATACTCCGGGGAAGAAGCTGAATTAGTGATGTGCATTAATGAGATGTGAATTCTTAGAGAGAGAGAGAGAGAAAGAGAGAGAGGAGCTCACTGTGTCCCCCAGCAGTCTGGGCCGATAGCAGCTTATCTAAAGGCAGGTCCAGACTAACCTGATCCGGCCCCAGCTGCAAGTGTTAAGTTTCAAAAGAAGACGTATCATGCTCATTTTCAGACTCTGGGTCTGTGTACCTTTTGCTAATTCCTTTTACCGTTTTAATGACAGGCTGAAAATACGGAAATGCCATTGCTTTCTCGCTTTTTGTTTTAAAACAAAAATCATAAAACAGAAACCGGCAGCTATTTTAGTTTTAAACCCCAAAACGAGAAAACAAACAACTTTTATTTTCCGCAAATACCTTTTTTGTTTTTGCCTGTAAAACATAAATACAAAGCTTAGCTGCTAAAGTACGTATCTTTCAACGCAAGTCAACGCAATGCAATGTTTGTATGTTAGAAATTTGTCTGTGGTGCAAGTGTATAACCGGATAACATTACAATATAAATAATCATAATATATATCCAGGGCCAAAAGGATATTGTTCGCAACAGTGGTTGACTACATTTATTTTCATTCATCCATGTAAACAGCAATACTTATTAATTGTGCACTGTAGTTAATAATATAGCTTAATCAAAGACGTTTGTGGTAGACCCGTTGCTATTGGCAATGATATTTAATCGTTTCACTTATAGAGCTGTAGCTTCAGGTTACAATTATCTGGATGGTGTACAAATCACATAGGACTTACGACACCAGATGAACAAATCAAAGGGGGCAAATGCATGAACTTGGTTGCATCCCATACAGTGAAGTGGCCCCTATACATCACAGGGTGGTAAAAGGATCAACACCCCCCCCCCCCGAATGTCAGACTGACCATGGATGCAATCTCTACTAGTAACTCACAGGCCACTAACTGGAGCAAGTGTTGCCTATGTCAGCAGGACAGGAAGGAAGCCCATATGTCCCCCAAGGCAAATGCTAACAAAACAGGAGATAGTGACTACGTGAAGTCGGGAAGGAATATTACCCAGTTTCACTCACTGACCGCCCACCAAATTCGACCCCATGAGACCCGATAATGGTTGTGACATACAGGACTCTTTGAGAGAAGACAGAGCATATTATCATGAGAACTGCAGGCTGTTGTTTAACAACACAGTTAGACAAAGCCAAGAAAAGATCCACCCCAGCATCAAGTAATGATGATGGTGCTCGACCACAAACGCTGGTGTGTGTTCTATGTGAGCACAAAGGAGGCAAATTAAGAGAAGCAAGGACAATGAAATTCAATGAAAAGATAAATGAATGTGCAAGAACACTCAGTGATGGGAAACTCCTTGCCAAACTTGCCAAAAGCAATGGAGATGTCATAGAACAAGAACTGAAGTACCAACGTGCTTGTTTGGTGGTTCGGTAACAGAGAGAGATTATATGAAGGCTAAAGGGCAAAGAAGAGCACAGGCCGAAGGATGCATAGCCAATGGCTTTCTTAGAGTTGTTGACTTATGTCAATGAAGTACTAGCTGCAGGTGATGGTACAGTTGAACAGCACTCTGCAGCTGCATATGTGAGCAGTTAAAGTTGGAAGATGAATTTGTCCAATGACCTACCTTCGTGTTACTGCAGACATTAAGATCAAAATGTTACCCTCTTAACAGTGACATTGACATTGATGCCCCAATATTTGGTGCTACATTATTTTGTGGCCAGGTCCTCAGCAATTGCAAGTAGAATTGCCACTATAGGACTACTAACAATTAATAACTAAGTTATGCCTAGGTTATAATATATAATCACCTAAGATTAACTGAGAAATTGTTGATTTTGATTAGTTAAGTGTCTATTGCTGTAATATAATTGGTATCCATACAGATTGAGTAGTCTAGTAATGTTTGATATGTTATAGATTTATTATAGCTTTTCTTTTCTCCATCCGTGCTAACAAGACTACTTTGGCAATGAAACACATATACCTTTAATATCAAATGTATCATTGTTCGATTAAGCGGTCAGTGCCATTCAGGTTTTCT